GCAAAAGCAAGCTACTGCCCAGTTGCTGCCTGAGTTGCTTGCAGTGGTGCTCACGCTACGAGCAAAGGCCACGGTTGCTCCAGCATCAACGACTGCGAGGTGCAGCACGCGCTGGTGAATGGAAGCAAGGGAGTCGATACAGAGTACCCTATCCCCTGCAAAAGCAGCAGCAGGGCAGCAGCAAGAACAGCAGCGGCAGTTGTCTTCGTGAAATCAACAAGGAGACAGTCTTTAAACTGGCCTGCTGCTCTTGCATACAATAGATCGCTATCCGCATCAAACCAAAGACAAAAGACGAAGAACAACAAAACATGCTACACAAATGAAATAATGCAAAACGAATCAAATCCGATAATCAAAATGGAGTTTGCAATAAAAATAATGATGAAAAAACACAACTTTCACAATTGAGCAATCGGAATAAGCGGAACAAGACAAGAAATAACGTACCTTCCACAATAGAAAGAACCCTCGCCCGCCAGTCTGTCAGCGTGTCTAAGGAGGCTAGGACGTTTTCGTTCGTCAGCATAGCCCCATTAAACGGCATAGAAAGAGCTTCATAGTAACACAAAACACAAGACAGCACAATGGTTTAAACACGGTAACCTCGAATATACCGGGCATATACACATGTAAAATAAACCCACAGTGCGTTCAACGTAGGCATATATATCTTGAACTACGTGTTTAGTACAGTGTGCAAATGCATGCACTCATGCTGCAAAGCATGCAGGCTATGCATTACAGTGATGTTGTAGAGCATGCATGTAATGTATATTGTGGTAAGTACACCTGAAATACACCTTCAATGCACTCGAAATAAGCCCAAAAGATGTTCATGTGCATACACCGCAAGTTCCCTTGAAAACAGTCATGTACACCCCAAGATACATTGATCAGAGGAACAACAAAAGAATAACAAAAGAAGAATTCATGAAGTAGAGCAAATGAATCAGTCTGAATCAATCCTGTGTATCAGTCGAAAAAACGGCAGCTGCCGAGGTGGATGCGGACCCCTTGGATAAATGACGGCAGCGATTTCTTCGGTGTCGAAACCCGAACGAGTCATATTCTTCAGCCTTTGTTCTTCTCCTATGCCCTGCAGCAGCAGCAGCAGCCGAAACGTCCACAGTTACATTCCTTCTACTTAGCCCGCTGGCAGCGCCAGGCTGCCAGCACCTCCAGCAACTGCAGCAACTGCAGAACTGCTGAAGTCGTTGATGTCGCCGCCACTGCGGTGTGTAAAACTTAGCACCTAAGATCTGAAATGTCTAAAATTTATTTAAGTGGGGTCTTGGGTATGAGGGAAGTAATCTACACAGGCGAAGTGTTTCGGGTCTTCATGCTGATCAAGACTGTTTGCTAGAGTCTGGGCAGAGGCAATGCTGTCTCAGTCTTGCTGCTGCTGCTCTGCGCCTCGGGCGTTTGTGGGGAGCCCTCGGGGGCCTTCGAGTGAGGTGTAGAGAATTTCCTGTCACTGATATGCAGAGTAAAGAAACACAAGTCTGCCTCGCCGCACATCGGGGGAATCCGCCAACTCCCAGAAGTCCACAAGGGTCAAGTCCAGGGCCTGT